ACTGGTGCCACAAGATGAGTGTAACTTACCTGGGGAAACTCCTTCCCTTGTCATCTCTCCTAAGAATGTGCTAGGACACTTATCTGCATTTCTTAGTATGTAGACCTTTCTGCCTCTATTGAAAGAATTCCGTAACATACAGGACTCCAGCAGAAAAAAAAATAAAGCTTATTTTTGAAAAATGAAAAAGAAAAGTCTGAAAAACTAGTGATTATGTGGTGAAAAGAACGCTTCTAGGTAACTACAAAAGCCACAAAAACCAAGTTCTGAATTACTGTACTGAACCACACAATGTAATTTAATGAGAATTGAGAATTATTTTTAAAAACAATTCTCCAGGAAATAGTAACAAAACTTATTATGGTATGACACTTTCATTTTTTTCTCTGAAGATTTTAAATATACCACTGCATACTTTTAACTTAGGAAAAAAAATCAATGGCATGCAAAAGAGGATGGGAGTTAAAATATTGAAAACATACAGTGGCATTTCTCTGTGGTTCGGAAATGTTTACTGGGGAAGGAGTAACATCATTTAACATTTTATAATGTTTATTTTTTGGGGGTGGGGAGTTTTGAGAGAGTTTCTCTGTGTAGCCCTGGTTGTCCTGGAACTAGCCTCCAAAAGCTACAGAGAAACCCTGTCTTGAAAAACCAAAACAAACAATCAAAAAAGGAACATTTTAAAATTATGAAATGGTATTACAGTTCTGAATAATTAACAGTGCTTAATAAAAATGTAACTATAGCTGGGCACTGGTGGCGCAAGCCTTTAATCCCAGCACTTAGGAGAAGGCAGAGGCAGCAGATCTCTGAGTTTGAGGCCAGCCTTGTCTACAAAGCGAGTTCCGGACCGTCACACAGAGAAACCCTGTCTCAAAAAATTTAACAGGAAAAAAAAAAAGTAATTGTATACTGATTTTCAGCTATGAAAACATAGTTGCAGAATTTCAAAGAAAATACTTCTTCTATAGTATCAAATTAGTTATACTTAATACATCTATGCTTTGGCTGGAGAGACGGCTCAGAGGTTATGAACACTGGCTGTTCTTCCAGAGGTCCAGAGTTCAATTCCCAGCAACCATATGGTGGCTCACAACCATCTGTAATGAGATCTGGTGACCTCTTCTGGCCTGCAGGCACACATGCAGGCAGAACACTGTATACATAATAAATAAATAAAAAAATACATTGATGCTTACCTAATCACATATTCTCCTATATCACTACTTTCCTGTAGGCAGGCGTTTATCCCATCCACAGATAAATTATTCTCCACTAAATACAAAGCATGTTGAAAATTAACTTCTGTGTACAGAGAACTCAGGGAAAATGAGACTAACAGAGATTTATGTTTGGAAGGTTTAGTCTAAGGATGATAAATCACCTTTTTATTTTCATTAAATTAAGTGGTCCCAGTACTCAGGAAAGACTCAGAGTTGACTCTGTATACAATATCAGCTCAATTCAAGAGAATGTGGGGAAAAGGGTTGGTTTTCTCAACAATTTGTATTTTATTCAACTGCAAAGTTATCAGCTTTGTAACTGTTTGGGACAAAACAGGCACAACATCAACCTTACTTTCTATGCTTACAAAAAATATATATATTTAAGTGTATGCGTGTTTTGCCTGCATGTATGTCTATGCATCACAGAGGCCAGAAGAGGCTGTCAGATGTCCTAGAACTAAAGATTGTGAGCAGCCATGTGTGTACTAAGAATGACATTTAGGTCCTGTAAGAGACCTCTTAGCCAGGCATGGTGTGGTGCGTGACTTTAATCTCAGCACTCAGGAGGCTGAGGCTGGAGGAACGCTGTGAGTTCAAGGCCAGCTTAGTCTATATAGTAAGCTCTAGGACAGCCAGTACTACGTAGAGAGTCTGCCTCCAAAAAGCAAAACAAAAACAAACAACAAAAACCAAAAAGGTGCTCTTAACTGCTGATCCATCTCAGCAGCCCCTAGTTTCATGAACTTTAAACGACACATGATCTGCCACCTGCTAAAAGGTTTGGACGCTTAACCAACATGAGAGCCTGTGAACATTTTTTTAAAGGATTTCTCAGAAATAACACATTAGTGCATCTTAATATATTTTAAGAAAAAGATAACCAAGAGTATAATTGAAAAGTATTATGACTAACTAGCTGCTTTATTTTAGAAGTGGTAGAATTGACTTGAATTAATTTTTTAATGTAATAATAATAATAAGAGAGATTTGTTTACTTGAAGAATGGAGTAGAAAGCTGTCTTGCAGTTAGAGTTTACAATGCAGAAATAACTCTACTCTTCTCAGTGAATGTACAGAAGTGTGTATCCTTTATATTCATTCATGCAAACACGTGTGAACTAAAGACACTCTGCTTGATCCCCAACATTCACAATCTGGCACTGTACACGTTTTCTATAATTTTACTGTACTCAACACCATTATCCCAAGTCTTTCTGTTAGGATATTTGAGACAGGGTCTCCTGTAGCCCACGCTGTTCCTCAACTTCCTACGCAGCAGAAGCTGGCCTTGAACTCCTTCTCCTTCTCCCTAGAACTGGGATTACAGATGCACCTTTGTCACACACCGTGCTTAATTGAGAGCCTCTCAGGCACTTCATATTAAGAAATCTACTTCTAGTGTGAATGTATGGTCAAAATGTAGAGGAAGCAAGGTGGTGGGCAGAGGCAGGCAGCTCTCTGAGTTAGAGGTCAGCCAGGGCTACAGAGAGAAACCCTGACTCAAACCAAACCAAATACAAATAAAAATATAAAGCAAAAGTATTTCCAGAGATCTCAGCAATGAAAGTGGAGGTACTGAATTTGCTGGAAGCATTTTTTCAGATGAACAGACTCACCTTTGATATGCAATACCAAAAAAAAAAAAAGTCTACTTAAGCAGACACCGCTACAGACACACACAAATCAACAACCCAGCTCCCCTCTGTCCAGCCTACCGAGGTTTGGCCTTCCTTAGCGAATGCCCCTTCTTCTGCCTCAGAGACACATATAGAATGATTATATTGATGGGAAAAAATTCAAAAATTAAAAATTAGCATCAGATATTGAATGGCTTAAAAGTCATTTCCTATTTCTAACAGCTCCTAAAGTCCTAATATAAACAATCTTCTACTCAGTAGTAACACTCAAATATGGGCTTAAAAAAAATAAAGGACTAATAAAGATTAAGATTCCGCTGGTGTCTCAGTTCACAAACTTAGGTTTTCAGGTTTCTAGTAAATTTATCAATTTAAATTGAAGTTGGCAAATGAATTTAAAGCTGAGAATAGGCAGTCTTTTCTTAACATCTTCATATCCTAATTTCAACTCCAAAGGAGCCCATCTTATCCCAACACAAGCCCCTTAAAATTGAGGCTTGTGAATGAGATCCAGCCACAACCTAATTATAGTAGCATGAACAATGCCACTCTGATGTCCTCACAGAACTAAAATAAATTCAGCCCACAATGGGTATGGGTATATAATATACACACACTGTATATAACTGCATACCAAGATATTTACAGATATATACACATATATACAAAAAGTTTAGAGATTGCATTTAGCATCACAAAAATATACACATGCCATTAAAAATAAGGATTTCAAATAAATAAGTTCAAAAAAGAGCCCTAAACCTAAATACTCTTTGAATTCTCCAAAAATAAACAAGAGAACAGAAATCACTCCCAAATTACCAGGAAACTCAAGGCATTCAGATTCATAGTCTTATACTCACACAGGGTGGACAGATGATTCTGGAGGGGCCAAGTTTCCAGACACTGGCACCTTAATGTGTCTCTAGTCCAGAACATTCTCTGGTTATTGGGGTGATTACATGTCTCCATGGATAAGTGAGACTTTTCAACTATCTTGAAGCCTTTGCTCAGACACAGACAGACTGGACTTGAATGCTAGAGAAGGGTCTGTAACTGCCTCAGGAGTCTGACTTGGACTTCTCCCTGGACATTAATGAGATTCAGTACCATTACCCAGATAAGGGAATTCTACTGCATGTCAGAGGAGAAAAAAAAAATCAAATTCCACACCCAAACCCCAAGTCAGGAAAACCTCAAGATCAAATTACACCTCAATTCCAAAACTGTGAAACATTTCAACTTTGTTAAAAAATATAAAGGGTACAATCAATTCTGTGCTTTGAAAGGTCCCGAGAGCACCACTTTCTAGGAAGGAAGTATTTACACAAAGATATATCCTGACTGAAATCAAAGAAAGAAACATCTGATTTTATAATTGATAAAAATGTGTTGAGGTGAATGATTCACCGGCATGAATATCCACTGTACCGGGAATTACACACAGGGCTTGGCAGATGCCAGGTAAGGATGATTGAGCCTCATCCTAATGGGTTTCAACAGCCAATACGTGAGAAATCTTAATTTTTATATTAATATAGCTCTAAAATTTTCCCTCTTGTTCATGACAGAAAGAAGCCTGAGCTAGGGGAGAGGGGGCTGAGATGAGATCGTGTTCTCGTAGCTCTATCACTGGATAACGAGCAGCTTTTAATACCTCAGCTTTCTCTTCTATAAAACAGGAAGGTGACTGCCCTGTGTAAGAAATGTATGGAGACAAAGAGTCTTATTGTGCTTCACCTTGCTTTGTGTGCAACAGGTCTCTCGCACCCATCTCTTTGATGCTTTTTAGTTGGTTTACAGTGATTCTTTTTTTTGTTTGTGTTTCAAGACAGGTTCTCTGTGTAGTCCTGGCTGTCCTGGGACTTGCTCTGTAGACTAGGATGTCCTTGGATCTCAAAATCTGCCTTCCTTTGCTTCCTGAGTGCTGAATTAAAGGTGTGTGCCACCACTGCCTGGTGTTTGCAGTGCTTTTTAAGATGTTGGCAATATAGGCTGAGCGGTGGTGGCGCACGCCTTTAATCCCAGCACTTGGGAGACAGAGGCAGGTGGATCTCTGTGAGTTTCGGCCAGCCTGGTCTACAGAGAGAGTGCCAGGACAGGCACCAAAGCTAGAGAAACCCTGCCTCAAAGAGAGAGAGAGAGAGAGGAAACTTTACTAGAATCTATAGCCAGATTTGTGCAATTTGACTAAAAAAAAATGTTGCTTCTTCAGCTTTGCTGTTTTTAGTTCCAATATTTAAGTTTTCATAAATTCTAAGATTAAGATTAAACAGAGCTTATGTATGCAAATCTGTTTTTGCGATGATGGGGTCTGATGTAGCCCAGGCTGGTCTAGAGCTCACTCTGTATGGCTAGGGTGGCCTTGAACTCCTGATGCCCTGCCTCTAAGTGCTGGGAATGGAAGCCAGGGCTGTGTGCACTCTAGGCAAGGCTCTACTACTATGCCACAATCTTTGTCTTCAAGGCAAGGATCTTTAAGTCTTCTCTGCTTGCATTCCAAGTGCCATAAAGAAAGTGTGGTGCACAGCAGCTGTACATTTTTTTTTTTTAAGCACAGATTAAAAAAAGCTTTAAGTTTCCTAAAGCAGATTTACTCTCAAGAGATTCAATTATTATTGAGATGGACTTCTGCTATCCTCTAGGTTAGCCCTGACCTTGTAACCCTCCTGCTTCAGCCTCCTGTGTGCTGGGATTAGAGACACACATCAGCATATCCCGTTCAGAATTGTTTCTAGTATTTTTCTTTGTGAATTTTTTTTTCCTCCCTAGTTATGGAGACCAAGCTCAGAATTTCTCAGTATTTGCTAAACACTGACACTACAGCCTTAGTTCTGGTCTACTTAGATCTTTAGCCACCAGTTAGGAACTGCATTACTGTTAGTTTAAGGGCCCTTGCTATTATAATCTATATTTACACTGTGATCTCTAAGACACACATATTTCTGATCATGGAAGGTCTGATTTTTCCAGGACAGTCTCTTTAAGCAAGTCTTAAAGCAGCAAAGTAGGACCTATAACTTTTTCTTTTTTTTTTAAAAAAAATCTTATTAAACACGATACAAAAAGGATATTATAGTGCCAAAAACACACAAATCAACTTCTCTGGAATGGGGAGGAAATCAGCATATTTGGAACCAAGGCTCCAAACTGCAGAGTCACAGACAAGAATAGGACCTTGGGTTAGTGACTGTATTCTATACAGAAGAGCACTAAAAAGCAGACACATGAAGCTATTTGTCAAAGGGCATCATGCTAGTTACTAAACAAGCCAGGATCAGAACTCAGACCTTGGTTTTGAATCTAGTGGTCCTTATGTTTAGCAGAAAAGGATTAAACACAGGACAGGGAACAGTAAAGTGTGTGCTGTAAGCACAGCACTTAAGGAAACTGGACCAGAGGCCAGGCAGCTAATGACTATCTATTGCTATAGTCCAGGAGAAGAGTTAGGAGAGGAAAACCATGATATATTATGGTTTATTTGAGACAGTTTCTCTGAATTGTAGTCTTGGCTGTCCTGGAACTTTCTCTGTATACCAGGCTGGCCTTGAACTCACAGAGATCTGCCTGCCTCTGCCTCCCAAGTGCTGGGGTTAATGGTGTGTGCCACCCTGCCCACAAGTAGACTTTTTAAAAAGAAAAACCAACACCTGGAAAGGCTCTATCCAGAGAGTAACTTTTTCTAAGCTTTAAAAAATACTGAATGAAAGAACAAAGCAACAATTTTAAAAAGAAATGAACTATCCCAAGCTCCCAACCTAACCATAACCCGGAGTTCACGTACTCAGTGTGCTGGAGCTGAAACAGCTACAATCTACACTCAAGTGATGCTCTAGGGGAGAGGAGGGAACCAGGTTAAAACACCTCATAACCATTTCCTCAGGGACACAGGAAAGATGTGCTGAAAAGAGCTACCTCATTTCTCCAGGAACTGCCAGGATTAGACCATGAACCTACACAGAAAATAGGGAGAAGGTCTTGTGATTCTTGCATTTCTGAGCTTAAATGCCATACAACCCAAAGAAGCCAAGATGGAAGGAATCTTCACAGCTAGTACCTTTGAGATTATGAAGGAGATGGAGGGGAAGAACACATACAAGCCTTTCTATTACATACTGAGTCCTATTTAAAATAATAATAAAAGCTTGCATATTAATATAAAATTAAGAAAACACAAAGTTTTAATATCTTATTTCCAAATTGTCAAAGCAAAATTAAAATGAACTCAGGATTTGCTTTCCTAACGCCCAGTTATCCTCAACTCACACTAATAGTATCTCTGACATAGATGCCCTGGAAACTCGGATATGAAAAGGAACTAGAAACTGTGCAGTGACTATACCAATGAATAAATCAAGACACTATTTAAAGCCAAATACTGTCAATGAAGTCTATGTAGAAATCCTACTGGACACAGTACAAGATTATGAAACCAACAACTTGATTTTTGGTTGAAATATTTAAAAGTATTTTCCTTTGTATTTCCAGCATTCACGACCATAAAGAAAATAAAATATACAAACAAATCTCCATGATAATAGTATTCACATTCTAAGTAAGGTCTATCAACCTCAAAGTTCCAATTGAAGATTTAATTTCCAGATGTAAATCAGCCCTAAACAGATTCTAAAAATCTGACAACATTGATGAAATTCATCAATCTCAAGAAATCCCTTTGTCCATCATTTTCCTACCTATCAGCATGGAGTGAGAAGAAACTCTACAGAAGGGCGTGGCTCTTGACTTTCAGTAGTCCATGTGGCCAGTTTCACCACTATGGAGAGTTAGATATTTCTCAAATCCAGACATTTAAATGTCCAAGTATAACTTCTGGATTGTCCTCATTATGTAAAAAAAATAAACAATTTATTCTTCTTAGGGAGGCAATAGTACCTATATGAATGTAGGATTAGATGTTGGAGGTAAGTATATAATGTCAAAACCAAAAATAAAAATTTCAAGATTGAGACTTTAAAAGACTTGAAACATTATATTTTAAAAGTTACCCTAAAAGTTTGAACTTTTGTCAGTTTGTTTTTAAAATGGTGGTTCCTAAGTTCACAAATAAAAACCGAATAACGGTCTCTGTCATCACATAAAAACTGCACCGTTTAAACCTGTGGAAGATGAAAGAAATTAAACAAGAGGGTTTTAATAGTCGTCCATGGGATTCTCAAAGAAGATATTGCGAACATCCAGAATGGAGGCCAACTCTAAAATATGCTTCTGAAGGTGAGGGTTCTCCACAGTCTCATCCCTTGGTAGTTGCGGATAGGATTCTGGGTAATTCCGGGTTTCCTGGCAAATAAGGAAAGTCATGTGTCAAAGTCTTATGGGAGGAAACTACCCAGTTTGACAGTAATAAGGAGTAGTTAAATGTTATTATTACTAATATATGTGTTTTTGGTGGTTTGGAACTTTGATTTGTTAACTTTTAGACAGGATTTTGCTATACCTCTAACACATGACAATGTTCAAGTCGGCCTCCTGAGAGCATGATCATATGTGGTTTCTGGGCTGAATTACTAACAAGGGACAATTGTAACCTCTCACAGCTTCATATGGGTGAGCCCAATATATCTGCACACTGAATTATTTCACAATTATTTGTTATCCTCTATGACTGACAGGACCAATACTCTATACCATCAAAAAATCCATACAAATCCTGAGGGATCCACACATAGAATTAAAAAAAAAAAAAAACAACAAACCACTCATTTCATGAATAAAAAAATGCTGCAGTAGAAATCAAAATGAGTGAAAAGACAAAATCTAAAATAAAAACTCCTAGAAGAAAACAGAGAAAACCTTTGTAAGCTTAGAACAGATAAGATTTCTTAGGAACCTGAAGAAAAAAAAGAGAACCTGATCTCCTGAACATTTCAAGCCCTTGTTTCTGTTAAAAAACAAACAAACAGGGCTAGAGAGATGGCTCAGAGGTTAAGGACACTGCCTGTTCTTCCAGAGGACCTAAGTTCAATTCCCAGCAATCACATGTAATGAGATCTAGTGCCCTCTTCTGTTGTGCAGGCAGAACACTGTATAATAAATAAATAAATAAATAAATAAATAAATAAATAAATAAATAAATAAATCTAAAACAACAACAACAAAAAACCTCACAAGACACTTTTTATTAAGATAAAGTCTTTTCTGTATGTGGTGAAATTACAAAAAAAAAAAAAAAAAATCCAAATCTGTGTGTGAAGACTCCCACGAGCTCTTCTACTTATACTGAAGGGTTTCTCTCATTAGCTAATGACTTGCAACTGCCCAGGTGATCACTACAGTAGAATAATGGATTACTACTCAGCAGTAAAAAGAACTAAGTGGCGCTGGAGGCACAGCTCAGTGCTCCACTTGTTGCTCTTGCAGAGGACCTGGGCTTGGTTCTGAATACCCACATGGTGGCTCAAAACCATCCAAAACTCCAGTTCCAGGGGATCTGGTGATATCTTCTTGCTTCTGTGGGCACCAGGCATGCATGTGGGGCACATATACAAATGCAACAGAACACTAATACATATAAACAAAATAACACCAAAAAAACCCTAAAAATAATGAAAAAGAAACAAGCTAGTGATAAAAGAAAAAAATGTGCCAATCTTAGTAACAGCTTAACACAAGATTCTATCCAATCTATCATGTTCATAAGGCAGTTTAAAAACTATGATACACGTAGATCATGATGTAGTGCTTGTAGACTCACGGGAAGGGTGCTGTATGGCTCAGTAGAGGTTGCATTTACAATAACACAATGTATTAACCATATAGTAAAGGTCGATTTCAACTTTGTGTGTTTTACTGTAAGCATGCATAGTGGGGCATATCTATAATCCTGGCACTCAGGAGGCTGAAGCAGGAGGATAGAAGTTCAAGGCCAGCCCGGACTACATAGTGAGACTGTATCAATTATACAAAACCAAATTGGAAATAAAATCAAAGTATGTGGCAGAATATTCTGAAACTAAAAGTTACAAAATCATTTTAAAAATTAAAAAAGTATATGTACATACATATGTATATATCATAGAACCCTTAATGTTGCATACTAAAGAAAAAATGCAATGGATAACATTCAAAACAAAAACCATGAGTACCAGGTTGGTGAAGACTCAGTCCAGTGCATCACCAAGCCCTCATCAGAGAAACTTCTTTTGGTAGATGATATAACATGAAGACCTACAACTGGACAATGTGCAGAGAATGGGGCTGTGGAGCACTCAGCTCTAAATAGGATGTCTTCATCAAACCCTACCCCCAGGGCTCGGGGTGTATGCAAAAGAAGAGGTGAAATGATTAGAAGAGCCGGTGATGGTGACCACAAGGAAACAGTCAGGGTGGTGCACATCTGAACACAGAGACTGACGGCATGCAGAAGACCAGCACAGGTACAAACCAGACAGACTCCCAACACCAACCAAGAAGGATTTGCAACTGATACCACTGGGGAAAGAAAAATCAGTTTTCTACAATGTAGTGTCATTGGGTTTATCAATCACACTCCAGGGCAGGCCCCATGCCCAAGAGTAGTTGGCCAACATAAAACACACTCTGTGTGTTGTTATTTCTTTTGCCTTACTGGTTTTTGTTTTTGTTTGATTTTTCCTTCCCCCCCCCCCTCTTTTTCTTTCTTTGAGACAGAGTTTCTCTGTGTAAACTTGGTTGTCCTGGACCTTGCTCCATAGTCCAGGCTGGCCTTGAACTCAGAGATTCACCTGCCTCGGCCTCTTGGGGTGCTGGGATTAAAGGTGTGCACAAACTACCATCTGATCATTATATAATAATAAACACCTGGAGGCAATCCAAATGTCCATTATTGGTAGAATGTGTAAGGAAATGAGACACAGCCAATACCAAAGAATGAACATCATAATCAAATGGCTCAATTGCAGCAATATGCCATACATACACATACATACATATGCATATACATGGATGTATTTAAATCATTTTCCCAGTGGTGCTGCTGAGTGACCTCAGGACTTATGCACGCTAAGTGGGCATGCTACCATTGAGCTACATCTCCAGCTCTCAGAACACTACTGATGAAAATAAACCAATGTAAATCCATTTATATACTTTTTCTTTTTTTATTTTTTTGAGACAGGTTTTCTCTGTGTAGTTCTGGCTGTTCTGGAACTTGCTCTGTAGACCCAGCTGGCCTCAAACTCCATGATCTGCCTGCTTCTGTTCCTCACTGGAATTAAAGGTATGTAACACCACTGCCTAGCAACAAGGTTTTAACAAAAGGTGAATGATCACAACACTTGGCTATCAGCTGCATTTGAGGAGAGATTTGGTAGGACCCACAGCAGTCTTCCCAAGTAAAGAAAGTTTAAAAAAAAAAAAGAGAAAAGAAAAAGAAGACAAGTGTCTCATATATCCCAGGCTGGCCACAAACCCACGAGGTAGCCAATGGTGACCTTGAACTTTGACTCTACTTCTCAAGTGCTAAAAATACAGGCAGCTAACGAAAATGTTAACCTTTTTCTGTTTCTTTTTAGCTTCTAGAGACAGGATTTGCCTGAGCCTACCAAATACTGGGATTCTTAGCATGTACCGCCATGTCCATGATACGCTCATTGTAATGCCGTACATGTTTTCTTCTGAATATTATTCTGAATCTATTTAAACTTTATTTAGTGTAAGTAAAATAGAATACATGGCTAACAATAATGGATCAAAATGGTAAACTTGATCTTTAGTGATTCACTGCCTACCCGAAAGGCCTTGTGCATCCTCATGGTGGCTGAACAGAAGACAAACCTTGTGAGAAGCAATCGAAGAAACTCATCTCCAAAAAACTGGAGAAAGGCCTGATCTGCAGGGGAAAAGGGGACGGTGAATGCAGGCAATATGAAAACACCACTCCAATAGTGAACTAAGTTAAGGAAAGCCTTCATGACTTTCCTACCTAGGACAATAACTTTAAAAACCCAAACCGTTTATAGTAGGAAACCATTTAAACCACTACAGTAAGCTTTGTTAAGTGTGCACGTAGATTAGCAGGGTACCTATTGAACGTGAATGGGTCAGTAGCTGGGCAATATCACGGTTGATTTTTCGAAGATATTCTTGACACTTTTCCCACAGGCCTCTACGCATGCTTGACAATCCAGACACAAATAGGAAGGCCATTAGAGGATTGTTCAAAAAGAGAGTGAAGAGGCTACCTCGCTGAGACTGATCTGTAATTACAAACATGTTACATAGAGACAAGAGGTTTACAAAGGGTTAGCAGACACAAGAGGAATATCTTAATACACTGATAATGTATAAAATTAAAGCTGGATCAGTAAAGCACAGTTTGACAATGTAAATTCTTCACGAAACTATAAAGATACATCTTAGGCATATTGCTTTTTTTTTTTTTTTTGGTTTTTTGAGACAGGGTTTCTCTGAAGCTTTGAAGCCTCTCCTGGAACTAGCTCTTGTAGACCAGGTTGGCCTCAAACTCACAAAGATTTGTCTGCCTCTGCCTCCTGAGTGCTGGGATTAAAGGCATGTGCCACCACTGCCCGGCAGCATATTGCTTTTTGAGTAAAACAAAAACACAGAGGCTCCTTCAATTATAAAATGAGAAGTAGATACCTACCTTCCTTTTTTTTTTTTTTTGAGACAGGGTTTCTCTATAGCTCTGGAGCAAGTCCTGGAACTAGCTCTGTAGACCAAACTGGCCTTGAACTCACAGAGATCTACCTGCCTGGGATTAAAGGCATGCGCCACATGGGCTGTCTTAAACACATTTCTTTTTATCTTAACACCAACTAACCAATTTCATCCAAATACGGCAAGTATTGCTTCATGAAGCATCCACGACGATGATGTAAACATCTGATGAGTACCTAATCTGCCAATTTCTGATTGGTTGTTCTTTCTATGCAACCCAGGCAGGCCCTTTTTGAGACAGGGTCTTATGGAGTCTAGGCTGGTCATGAACTCATGAAGTACCTAAGGACAACCCTGAATTCCTGATCCTAATGCCTTTTTACCTCCTAAGTATGGGATTATCGGTTAGAATCTGCCTGGCTCTTCAATGTCAGCACTGCTTTTCCTCTGGCACACTGCTGATCACACCAACTCCTAGGACAGAAGCTGCTACTCATGCTCTTGGATGCCTCATTTTCAAAGACCAAGACTGGTTCTGTGCTTTCCTGCGATCTACTATACACAAAGACTGGGCTGCTCCAAACCATCTATGAATGCATCCCAGACTTCAAAGACTTAGTACAAAAAGGCATACTGTTAATCCCCACTAGATACGTAACTCATCCTACATTTCTACTGAACAACACTGGGATAGATTCAAGTTCATTCTCAGAAAGACTGTGAATCTAACATATGCTTTCTCCTACAGTTTTCTAATGCAGGTTCCCATCAAGACTCAGGATTTCTACCAATGCCTGAGCCACAGACTCCTGTCTATCAGCAAGTCCTGCAGCGACAGAGGGCTCTAGAGGACTGAAAGGGACTGCTGAGCCCCTGACACCTTCATTGGCTACTTCCCTCAGCGCCCTCTAATGCAGTCTCTGCAGGTTCATCTCTCCTACCTTCTCTGTTCAGCCCTGTTCACTCAAATCTCTCCAATTCAAATCAGATCGTCTTTAAAGGATTCTTATCATTCAGTAATACAATCCCTTCCTACAGAGATACTATTTAAATTTCTCTAAATGTTTGTTTTACAAGCTCTATAGCCCGAGGCTATGAGTGTTCTGCTGGAACACTGCCTGCTCAGTCACTCCCCATCCTTCAGCACCTCTCCTCCTGCTTAGTAGCAGTTCCTGTTTGTACTCCTGTGCTTCCTCTGTTAGGTCAGCTCTATTTTCTTCTCCTAGATACTGGCTCTGTGAGAGACACAACTGGAGTATCAGATGCAATGCTGTTCCTCAGTGCCTAGCACAAGGTTGATGAGTAATTTTTTTTTTAGATTTAGTTATTTATATATATTTATTATGTATATAGTACCTGCCTGCATGTATATCTACAGGCCAGTAGAGGACACAAGATCTCATTATAGATGGTCATGAGCCACTATGTTGTTGCTAGGAATGGAACTCAGGACCTCTGGAAGAGCAGCCAGTGCTCTTAACTTCTGACCATCTCTCCAGCCTTGAATAACTCATAAACTGTACTGAATGAATGAAGTATGTCTTGATTAATCATAGAACTACAGTAGGAACCTTATAAAATACATATATTACTTTGTGGCCAGAGTGGCAAGCCCTTTTGTAGAGGTCAGCAGCAACAATGCCACTGAATAAATCCTAAATTGAATAATAAAGTAATTAATCTGTCTAGTGGCTAAATTTTACTTAAAAGTATCTACAGTCTAAGCTTTATAGTGTAAAGATAGGATGTTGGGCAAAAAGACATTGAGGACATGAATCATAACTACATACATATTAACAGCACAAACTGAGTACTCTGTAGGTTCCTAGCACTATGCAACACGGTTAAGTACTATTACTATGACAGATGGAAATAGTAATAACTGAGGCACAACAAGGCAGAATAGCATTCTAAAGAAACAGAGCTAATAAGTGGCTAGGCTGGGACTCAAGTTCAGCTGGCACCCTTAAGTCTGTGCAATGAAGCTGCTAACTGAATTTTGGTATTAACCCACTTGACCATGTAGTTTTAAGTAAAACTACATTAGAACAGGATGATGACAGCAACTCCCTAGTAGTGGGGAGAGGTTACATTCCTCCAGAAACAATAAGAAACAGGATGCAAAATCCTCAAAGCAGGAGAATTTTACCGTTGTTTGAAGGTAAGTTCTATCCCTTTGGCTTTGGCTATGTGAACTTACAATTGCTACAAGATTTTCCCTGTTAAACAACAGAACTTACCTTAAAACAACGGTGTAAGTCTCCAGCTTCTCTCAGGCATTCAAGTGCTGACCATCACTTCCTGTGTGAAACTATGTCAGCAGCCAGGACTTCGGGCTGGGATGTAGCAGTGCAATGCCATCTCCCACAGAGAGACATCAGCACTCTCCACAGTCAGGGAGATAGGGAGACAGTGACAAGTACTGCTAAGACAGGGTGAAGGTTCCCTTAGCATTGACCTAGGAAATGACTGGGAGTTAGAGTTAGAGTGTATGTGTAGCCTATCCAGGTCAAAATACTAGTTTTCCCTTGGTAGCCACTGGAGAAATGGCCCAAACAAACCTGTCCTTGTGGTGAATTTTGAAGAGATTATTTTAAAAGTACAGGATAAAAATGGAAAGAAAAACAAAACAAAACAAAAACAAAAAACAAGAAAAGAAAGAAAGAAGCCTTAAGTTGTGCCAGCTCAGGTATCCTAACTATAGACACAGGCTGAGAAACTCCTAGACCAACAATTTTACAGTCTTCAAAGATGCCCAAGGTACAATAACCAAAGGTGTCAGAAAATCATGTACAAAAATATGAAGATCAAAACCAATTTTTTAATCTAAAAACCAGAAGTTCTCTATAGCAAGGGATTAAACCACTTCTTTCTCAGAGATGAATTATCTTTCGGGCTAATCACAGCACATTAGGGAAGCCTTGTCAGCAAGGATTCCAGATATACTTCAGACTGAAACTTATAAAACAACATATACATGTCTAGTTACAATGGGAGATCAAAACAAATCCAGTCTTCCTCATTAAGGCTCAGTGGTGTGACAGGCACCAAGAACGTACCTTGCAGGGCTTTTGGATATGCCGTGGGAGAAAGCAGGCAGACAAGTGGCTGTCCGAACAAGTTTGTGAAATTCTGCAATATATAAGAATTTAAGACTTTTATTAGAGATTTGACAAACTGTAGTTACCTAGTAATCTTCCAGCGTACATAGCTAGTATATGGACTGGGCTCATTAACTCACAAGCAGACGTGGAGACGGTAGCAGCTGCAGATATGCTGCTCATTTTCATTACCATGCATACCAATCTGCTAAGGGATTGCCACCAAAACAGTGAGGTTCACTAATGTGGACTACTGACTGTTAAAGTAATAGCAGATAAATAACTGTAGCTTTGCAGGTACAGTTCATCTGGGTCTCTAGAAACGGTGGTCCCACTGGATACATCAGGGTGGATTTTCCAGATCTAGCTTCCAGTCTCAAAGGCTCTGGGAGTGGATAAAGTCCCTTCCTGAGTCTCATGGCCACAATTCACACAGGATAATGCCAACGTGCTCCTTATAGAGAGCACTATGTGGAGCACTCAGACTGCAAGTGGAGCACTCTGCATAATTTAGGATACCATTTCTCTAAAGGCAGATCTATTATAATAGATAAAATTTTAATAACATAAATTATTTGGTAAAGCAACAAAAAGATATATTTCCTAGGAGTAAATGGAATAAACTAGAAAGTTAGAAATTCTAAAGATTAAAAATAAAGACAAATAAATGGAATGATACATTATGCTGTTACAGATGAACCCATTCTAAAATGTCATGCTAATAATATATTAAAATTTGAACCAATCTCAATAAAAAGAGCTACTGGTGCCCCTCCTCCATAGAAAAATATACTGTTGAAGTTCACATGGCAAAATTAGTCAGGAAAGCAAAAGAAAAGCCTCATCAGATATTAAAATATACTTAAAAACTTCAGTAACTGAAATGTGTGGCACTGGCACAGGAGTGGCCCAAAAACACACAGAACAGTATGGGAAGTTCAGAAAAGAACCTGCTAACACATAGGACTTCTGTGTGTGTAACACGGTGACCAGCAAACACATAGGACTTCTGTGTGTGTAACACGGTGACCGGCAAACACAAAGGACTTCTATGTGTGTAACACGGTGACCTGTAAACACATAGGACTTCTCTGTGTGTGTAACACAGTGACCTGCTAACACAGAGGACTTCTGTGTGTGTAACACGGTGACCTGCAAACAGAGGACTTCTGTGTGTGTAACACGGTGACCTGCAAACACAGAGGACTTCTGTGTGTAACACGGTGACCTGTGTGTAACACAGGACTTTTGTATGTGGAAAACAGTGACCCACAAACTCATAGAACTTCTGTATATATAACAGTGCTTTTTTCCCCATATTTAGAAAAAAACACGTTGTCTCCATATTCCATGCTATATATGTGAGTAACAAATCAATCAAAAATCTAAATGAAAAAACAAGCGACTAAAGTGTTGAGCAAAAATATAGCAAGTTATTTTTGTGGCTTGGAAGCCCTTCCTAACTATTATGATTGCTAAGATTAATATAAGCCATGAAATGTGGAAATACCCTCAATTCCAGCACTTGGAAAATGAGGTAGGAGGGTCAGGAGATGGAGTCAGCCTGGGCTCCATGAGACCACATCCACAAATAAACAAACAAACCATATCACCACCACCACCACCACCACCACCACCACCACCACCACCACCACCACCACCACCACCAAACCCAAGCTTGGCTATCGTGCATGAAGTCTGGGCTCCATTCCCAGCACTGAAGAAAGCGATTATCCCACAGTATTATTCCACATTTTGGAAATGCCTGTGGGTCCTCGTCTGCTGCTCTTGCTCTGGATAGTGCTAAAGTGGATCATCCATTTCCTCAAGGTCTCTTCTTTCTGCTTGCTAGTCAAACCCTGTCCTCTGATATATCTCATATACAAACATACACGCATACACAAAAAGGACTGTAGTTATTATAGCAGGTCTGAGTGCCAGCTCATAAAGTTAGCTTTGGCTGGTTTCTGGAAGGTATGTGAGGGAAGACTCACATGATTAGGTTTGCTCTGCCTAGATGGAGCAAATGAGACACTTTGGGGGACCCCAGCACTCCGTCTGGAAGCCTGGCAGAGGATGCCTTGGTGCTCAGTTCCCAATCTAAGCCTTCACTTCAGTTCTCTCGTGGAGTCAGTCTGTAAAGTTTGGGACTAGGTCTCATGTAATCCAGGTCACTTGTGATCCTCTGGTTTCCATGTCCCAAATGCTGAGGACAGAAACCAGAGCTTCGTGAATTCTAGAAAATAATCTACCAACTGATCTGCACCCCTCGCTCTGTAATAAGCATCCCTAAAAGAAAGTACTTAATCCACACGGAAAGAATTTGTTGTTGGGGAAATAAGAGCATTTTGTGTGACTACTGGGCCAGCACCTGGAAGTTTAGACCTGATTTTCCCAGACTTCTTTACATTCCTTATCCTTTGTTGATTTTGCTATCTTCATCTTACTGTACTAAGTCTTCACATAATTTTATTCTGAAATAAATAAGTCCTCCTTGAAATTTTGTGCACTTGGGGGTTGCCATAGGCTCCTGAAAGACAATATCTGGTTGTATATATAATTTATTTACTAGGATACAGGGTCTTGTGATGTTGTTTAAGTTGGACTTGAATTCTGAGGATCAAAAGAATCTTCCATCTTAACCTCTTGAATATTTGAGACTATAGGCACAGGTGACCATGCCTGGCATATCAGATTATATTTAAATTTAAGGACTTGGTAAAATATTTGCCACATAAGCATGAGGATCTGAGTTTAATGCCTAGTGAACACGTGAAAGGTAAAATGTGGTAACGTGTGTTTATAATACCACCATTGGGAAGACAAAGACAGATGGACTTGGGGCTCATTGGCCAGCTAACCTAGAATGATAGGCAAATCCTAGGTCCTAGTGAGAGCCTCTATCTAAAATAACAAGATGTAGCAGGCAAGATGGCTTAGCTCGCATCCATTTTTGGCAACCAGTTTGATCCCTAGAAACCAAGTGGTAGAAAAAATGAAGTGACTCGAAGTTGTACTCTGACCTCCATACAGACACAACCCACTCTGATGCGCAAAACAATCCCACACCAGTTAGTATTTAAAGGGGCATTTATTTTGGGGTTAAAACTCACAAAGTACCAACCGTCAGGAAAGGAGCCTAGTCGCCAGAGCAGGAACAGGAACCAAGCTCCGGAACCAAGAGAGGTGGGGAGGACACCCGCAAGATTTATAAGTAAATATTAGCCTGAAGGGATCCTGCCCTACAAACAAGGTGATTGGCTGGGCTTCCCCTACATCTCCCCCTTTTGTCTAAATAAGACAGAACCAAACCAAATACAACTATATACAATAGGAACAAATAATAAATACAAAATTACAAATAACAAACAATATTAAGCAAGAAACATATAACAAAAGTTTCACTAAACATTCTATTTCAAGGAGTCTAAATAATGTAGAGAGTAACTACAATTATCTAATCTTCAACTCCATCAAAGATCTGAGAAGGGAAGTAATATTACTTAAGCAACCAGGAAGTACAAACGAGAAACTTCCAAAATGTGCACAAATGCAGAGACAACTGACTACCTGGGCAATCACCCAAAGTCTCGTTTGCAATGTTGAGTCAATCAACTTTGGCTAAGGCCTAACATAACTGACATAGCATTATCAAAGGCAAGGAACTTTTTTAGAACTATCCTGTCTTGGCAAGATAAGACAATCCTCAACATACATGGATATGTGATGGAGGTGGGTCTTGTATCTTATCTGTTGATTTCATTGGTTAATAATAAAGAAACTGCCTCGGCCCTCATAGGACAGAAAATTAGGTAGGCGGAGTAGACAGAGGAGAATGCTGGGAAAAAGAAGCTTAGTGAAGGAGTCGCCATGATTCTCCCGCTCCAGACAGACGCAGGTTAAGATCCTCCCTGGTAAGCCAGCTCGTGGGCTACACAGAATATTAGAAATGGGTTAGAACAATATGTAAGAGCTAGCCAATAAGAAGCTGGACCTAGCCGGGCCAGGCAGTGTTTGAAAGAATACAGTTTCCATGTAATTATTTCTGGGTATAAACTAGCCATGCGGGCGGCTGGGTGCCGGGGACGCAGCCCTGCCGCTCCTATTTCAACAGTTATGTGTGCATGAGTGTGTGTGTAATTAAAAACTGAGGGGGTATTGGAGATATGGCTCAGCAGTTAGGAGCACACTCTACTCTTCCAGAGGACCCAAGTTTGGTTCCCGGCACTGATATGTCAGGTATCTGATAACTTTCTGTAACTCCAGGCTTAGGGGATCCAATACCCTCTTATGGCCTCTGTGTATAACAATACATATGTGGTACACACACACACATCTTTAAAAATGTGTAAGTTAAAAACTGTATCAAACTGCAAGGCCTGGTGATTCATGCCTATAACCTGGGAGGCTGAGACGGCAGGACCTCAAGTTCAAGACCAAACTGAGCTGCATAGCAAGACTGTCTCAAAACAAAACAGAATAAAAACTCCAGTACTAATTTACATCAATAGACATAGTATCCTTTTAAAAGGTCTATTTTCAATAATAGACGATGGAACAGACTCTGTCTCATATGCTAAAGATAGGATAGTAAACAAAACAGAAAAACCCTGTCTCCCTGAAGATGACATTTGGACAGGGATACAGATATAGGCAGGCCCCCAGTAAACAAAATGAATAAATTACATAAAACTCTTAAAGGTAACAAGGAGTCTGGGTACAGAGCATGGAATTCAAGCAATTACATCAGTAGCACAGGTTTTATAATCAGAGTGTTTAAATCTAGCTTTGCTACTACTTAGTTTGGTGTGTGACCTTGGGTAAAACTGCTTCAACTGGGTATGGAGGGGTGGCTCAGCAGTTAAGAGTACTGACTCCCCTTGTAGAAGACCTGAGTTCATTTCCCAGCACCTACACAGTGCTAAGAACCATCTGTAACTCTAGTTCCAGGGGATTTGGCACCCTCTTCTGGCCTCCACAGGCATTATATGCAGGTGGTATATAGACATGCGTATAGACAAAATATCCACA